GTTACTGATTACTTTTTTCAAGTAACTTGACCAACACTGTTTATGAGTGGCCAAATCAACAATCAGGCACAGTCATAAAACAATGAACGCAATGGCGAGTTTCTCAAGGTAAAGAAATGCCACAAAACTGCTTCTCAGTCACTTGTCAAGTTACATCTGAGCCTCTAAAAATGAGAGAATGTTTATAAAAAGGACTACTATTGTCCAAATCCTCATGAACCTAACTGTAATGCAGCACTTCCAGTGTAAAGAGACTGGAAGATAAAATCAATACTGACACACTTTTGTTGATGGACAAAGGAAAATATGATTTTAGACCCACATACATAAAATACTTCAATGCAGTTTTTCTTTTGCACTTTTTCTATCTACAGTATACAGTTACATTAAGCACGTTTTACGCTAGTTTAAACATTTCTATATGTAAAAAAATGTCTAGAAAAGAAAGCAGCTCGCCAATACGCACCAAATGAGTGACTCCATTAACTTATAATGACATATAGCAGCCCTGCCTCTGTCCCTGCTGGTAAGGTGCAGATCATGAAGAGATCAAGACTCGTCCCCTCCATTTGTGATGTTCTATTGATTTTCAATCCTTCTAAAATTTATTTCTGGTCATAAACGCGAAAAAAAACCCCTGCAATCTAATCCACAACCACTGTCCCGAGGTGAGTCTGCGTACCTTCTTACAAATACCCAGAAACTCTATTAATATTCTTGGTGGGACAGTGTTTACACTAACTCCCCATTCAAGGCTTGTGCAGTCCAAGAATAGCCGCGGCTTGGATAGTCGGTGCTTAAAACGAGGAAGGAAGTGCCGTATACCTTCCACTCACTACACACTTGGAGAGATTAGAGGCAGCAGTAATCTGTTTCAGGACCATGGCCAGAGACAACGTTTGGATATGAATCTTGTCGAAAGTTGCCAACGACTCTCTGTGAACCTTTACGGACACCAAACAGAGTGACGAAGTTTGTTTGGACAGGGTATCCGGAAAAGTGGGGAAGAACATGCATATTCGACTGGTTTTATATAAAGGGACTTGAAGGAGGCTCAGTCAAATCTCTGGACAGTCTGTCGCTGATTACGAGTCTCGTTTCACATGAAAGCGTGAGTTACGAAAGCTGGTGACCCAACCAAATCGGTTCTTTTAATGTGAGTAAGAAGCAAGAAGCCGGGAAGCAGAGGAGAAAGGCTGTGCGCTCAGTCGGGAGCGCGCAAAGACTGCACATTGGTCCGGTCCTGGAGACGTGAGGATGGAGGTCCGGCCGGACAGGTTTAAGGCCGTGGCAGCCAAAACTCTTGGGAAAATATACGGGTATGTAAAATCTCCACCTCAGGGAACAGAAACAGAGCAGAAACATCTGCTGGATGACCTTTAATGTTAAAAAGGAGCTTTGTGTTTAGCGGTTAAGCTGCGGACCTGAGGGGAAGTTCATTCTTACTGATGCTGAAACATGGCCTGTTAGTCTATCAGTGTTTCTATTGAAAAGATTTAAAGAAATATAATGTCCAGAGGCCCGAATCAATAATATGGAAATATGTGTCCGCTTATAAATCTTTCATATAAGAAATGTGTAGACAATAACACGCTGTATGTGGCACTGGCGACTTAAAGTAGCTGATAAGAGATTAAAAAAGATACCCAAGTTAATGTTCAGGCTCTCTTTTATAAGCAGTGTGTATCATTCTTTGTTCCCGAAGAACAAAAAAAAAACAGAATGAAGTTACATTTCAGGCTCAAAATGTTCTCTCAGTGTAAGATGACGCGCTGGATCGATACTTGGATCCATTTCTCCTAAGCTTGCCGTGCTGTTACATTGTCACATTACAGAGACACTGTGACACCGTGTGTGTGTGTGTGTGTGTGTGTGTGTGTGTGTGTGTGTGTGTGTG